TAGATAGATAGATAGATAGATAGATAGATAGATAGATAGATAGATAATCAAACAATCTTCCAAGCAGGACCATATAACATGGCCTTGGGTAACAAGGCCAAGACTAAAATAAGGTGAATCTAGAAAGAAGATTATTATAGGAGAAAAACTGAAAGTCTGTAGAGATGCTCAATTATCCAAGTCATGATTATCCCAAAGGTGCTTTTTAAGGAGGCAACTGTTCTTTCTCATTTTTCCTTTGAAGACATTTTGCTTCTCATCTAAGAGTTTCTTCATCTTTGATTAGATGGTGTAGAATGGAATGATTTATATTCCTTGCAGATAGCTGGTCATTTGCATCTTTTTAGAGCATTGATGAAGCACTTGGAGGTTTATCTGTGTCCTCAGAGTCACCTGAGTAGTGCTAATGGTTCTTGTAGTCTGCATTTTTTTCTGGAAATACATTCATATTCCCATACCATTTGAAGGGTGTTCATCCCAAATTGAATAGCTAAAAATCTACAGAGATTCTCAATCATACAGGTCATGGTTGTCCCAAAGATGCTTTTTCAGGAGGCAACTGGACTTTTTGTTGTTTTTTCTTTAAAGACTCACTTTTTATCCAAGAAGCTTCTTCAGCTCTGACTGGATGGTGGGGAATGGAAGGGTTTATATTCTCTTATTACATCTTTACCTTTTGTTTCAGTGCTTCTCAACCTTAGCAACTTTAAGATGCGTTGACTTCAACTACCAGAATTCCCCAGCCAGCATGAAGTCCATGTATCTTAAAGTTCTTAAGAGTGTACTTCAAAGGATAATCTCTCCCAGTAAAGGAAGACATTGTCCTATTGTGCCAACCATGATTCCATATGAACTTTTGCTTTAAGGCTGTTGTTGTTCAGTCACTAAATTGCTGTCTGTCTCATGGACCATGGCATGCCAGGAGTTTTCCAAATTCATGTTCGTTGTATCGATGAAATTATCTAACCGTCTCATCCTCTGCTGTCATATTCTACTTTTGCCTTCCATCTTTCCCAACATCAGGGTCTTTTCCAATGAGTCCTCTCTTCTCATTAGGTAGCCAAAGTATTTAAGCTTCAATGTCAGTATTTGTCTTTCCAAGCAACAGTCAAGATTGGTTTCCTTTAGAATCAACTGATTTGATTTAAGACTAGATCTCAGCAAATACTGATTACATTGTATACCATCCAACACAAAAGTTAGAAATCAGAAATAAAAACAACATGTTTGTTTTCAGATTTTTTTAAAAAAAAATGTACATATTTGTTTTTCTACATTAGATTGCATCCATATCTTCTATTTTCTTCTATATTTTTGGGATAAGAATGCCTTCAGCATGTTCCATCTTAAAAATTGAATTTTTATTTAAGAAATGCAAAGGCAAAAGGGAGTGACAAACAATGCATCATTTTAGGCAGGCTTTGAAAAATGTAGATAGCTTCTGTAATTTTAAAAGATTTATTTCTCCGGCACTGCTGGTTTTTATTGAACTTCCTCTGGCTTCCCTGATAAGTAGGCATTACAAAAGGCCTTTGCAACTCACTAAGTTACCAAGATAGGATTCTTTTATCATCAGAAGAGAAGTTGTTCCTATTGTTAAAAAGTATTTACAGATTCAAAATTATATACCAAAATATAATAGCCGGAAGATGTTTCTCTTAAAAAATGTTCAATTTCATGACTAACTATAATTCTTTTCAATGCAAGAAAGATCAGCACGTTTCTAAGTCAACTTAATGTTTCCTGCATTCAACAGTGAGCTATCAAAATTTTATAAAAATATACTTGGCAAAAAAGGTATAGTTTTGGGAGCATAATTGTTCTTGCAAAATGTATGCTAGTGCATCGAAGCATTAGTGTCTTGCTTTTATATCAGTCTATATGTTGAGTCTAAGAATAGACTTTTTATGCCCAGTATATGAGTGTGGGCCAAAGAAATCATTAAATACATTTTGCATTTAATTAATCAAATTGCTTATCTATAAACAACTATTCATGACTTTAATTTACCTGTACAGTCTTGTGAAAGACCTATATATTTTATTAATTTGCCTAGATGTAATGCATTACTTTTCATTTTTAGCCTGTTTTTGAATGTTTTTGCTGTTTTGTAATATGATTAAATCCATGTTTCTTTGCACTGCCAGTGTATGGTGATCTTCTGAATTTTACTAGAACTGCATGGGAGCATTCCCCACAACATCCATGGGTAACAGGTGAGCTAAGGAACTGCGGGCAAGACCACATGGCCTACGTCACTTTATCTTCCTTTGGAAAATACAAAAAGAGCTCTTACTGCTATCTTTTTCAATCACCTGACTCCTGAAACAGTTGTCTTATTGGCCTTCTGGTAGGGCTCGCCTGCTAGTGATTGATTTAAAAGGGTTTTCTCTTACATTTCACAGGTGAGAATTAAAGAAAGGGACATCGTACTTGTAAAAACTCAAATAGACCCTTTAGAACCTATATCTGCATTCTTCGACCTTGCTTTGGGAAAGTTTTCAGAATGAATTTCCTGCGAAGGCGTCTCTCAGACAGTAGTTTTGTGGCTAACTTGCCAAATGGTTATATGATGGACCTTCAGCGTCCAGATAATTCCACCAGCAACCCTGTTTCCCCAGCAACAGAGAGGAGGCAGCAGCCAATACAGCAACCAACTGCTCTTTCTTCTGGTACCAGCATCTTCAACTCCATCTCCAGTGCCATGAAGCAAACCACACAAGCAGCTGCAGGACTCATAGAGCAGTCAGCAACTACTGCCCCTGTAGCCCAACAGAAACCTCAAATTCTCTTGATAATTGATGACCCCCACACAGATTGGTAAGTAGCCACATTTTGTGTCTTGTTTGTTTCAGCTGCAAGTAACCCTGATAGTTCTGAACTCAAATTGATTAATGCCTCTGGAATGCACGACTCAGATAAATTTATTTCTTTTGCATACCACATACCATATTCTGAATGTGGATCACAGTGCCTTAGAAAATGTAAAGCAATGTCTAAAATATATAATGCAAATGAGAAATAACAGGTAGCCATTAATGTAACAGCATATACAATGTCATTTATTTCAAAAGAAATACGACATTATTAACAAAGTGATTGAATATCTTGGAAAGGTAGCTACTGGGATTCGAAGATACATAACAGATTGCAAGGTTATAGTGTCTGTACTGCTTGCAATATAAATAATTATTTTATAAACAGCAGTTATCTGTTGATATTTTTCATTTGAAAATTGGCCACTTTAAAAATCTAAATGACTTTAATCCAGTAATATTTGAAGTGCCACTGTGCCATCTATGAGAATATTACTCATTGTTATTTAAATTCTTTGTATCCTTTGTATTGTAGGAGTCTACTTGGTGGATATTTAAGGCTGAACCCAACAACTTGTTTATTTTATTCTTTCTTCCTGGCCGTCTATCAAATGCTTTTTAATTGTAATTTGACTCATAGACTGAAAACTATCAGGAGCCAGAATGCTTATCTTTCTGTTTTAGGGAAAAGTAAGGAGAGACAGCCACCAGTATTTTACCAAATACTTTTGGGAAAAAAATTATGCTAATACTGGAGTTTTCTTAGGATAGATTTGTCTGCTATCTTTTGTAAAGGAGGGCAAGTTTGTGTGTCTCGCCCCTCCTAACCTGTTTATGATTTTTATGCTCCTTGTAATTACATTAGAAGGGCACCAGATGTCAGTACTTCTTCAAGTACCTCCTCATACAGGCATACGTATAGTAACTGCGTATTGAGGGCTCTGCAATCTCGTATCCTACATATTGTCCAATAGATTTTCAGTCCAATAAGCAAAATGAGCAAACATGCTTTTCTGCTTGGTCATACATTGAAATGTATGGCCAAGCTTTCCATGGATCATAATATCATTTATTCACAATATTCCTAAATATAGGAATAGATTAAAATTCAAATATTTTAAAAAGCTTTTCACATGTGACAAAAGCAAGAAACCAATAGTTTTCAAAATGTGCTAAATTAAAAATTTGGTGACCCCATATCTCTTGGCCAATGGGTGAGGTACAATGAATGTGGTAGATCAGAACATCTGAAAGACACCCAGGTTTCTTTTCCTAGCTGTGACAGAGCTTACTTTTCAGTGGAACAGAATGCATAGCAGGGATATTTATTTATTTTTGCTCATTTTTATATCTTTTAATAAACTAGCTATTCATATGTAATACATCCATGTAGTTCAACTGCAGAAAAGTGCACACTTCTTTCTGCTTGAAAGGTTTATTTTGGAGACTTTAATTTCCTAAGAGTACCTGTCAGAATAGGATTTTAAAAGTCCAGGGAAAGGACTACAGATGTATATTCAAAGCATCAGGAAACAGAATGGCAGAACTCCATGTTACTGCATGTCAGCCAAATCTAGGCACGTGACCCCACTCAAGAGGAAAAGTTCCACCTCTGGCAATTTCCTTGCCAGCACTAAATTAAATTATGTTCTTTCTAGACTGAATTCTGACCACATATTAACCTTTTCCAGCAAAATCAGATTCTGGTTCTATCATTTTTGAGGGGTCCTTGGTGCTCTCTTGATTGTTTTCTTAAAGATGTTTCATTATCCAACATAGGTAACATCAGTGCACCAAGTGAACCAAGCTCAGAGAGCACCAAGGACCCTTCATTTCAACTCTGAGCTACAAACATAGATAGTTTCCCCTGGGAAGAATTCTTACAATTAATTACAATTACAATTAAGAGTCCATCTGGATTCTTAACCCATTAAAATTTCTAAAATTAACACTCTAATCACCCTTTTGCTCAATATTTTATAATTTTTTTTGCAAATACTTAAACTCATAGTTAAAACTCCTTTCTTACAGGAATGAAGAAAACTCATTCAGTAAATCAAATAAAACTTGCCATTCCAAAGGTTCTCAAGCTTTGCAGAGAATTTTTTTAAAAAATTCAATCCAAAGTGATTAAGAGATGAGGCTCAGAGTAATCTTATGTCTCTATAGGCTACATTGATGGCCACAAACCTGAAGAAATCTCATACTCTTAGATATTTACAAGCCAGCCACAAAAATCTCAATTCCTTCCATCTTCTCATGAAAATCAACTGTCAGGAACATATATGGGCAATTTCAAGATTTCTCCTTTGTCCAGGGAGATTACTGCAGTCTCAGTATAGCATACAGATACTGTTTTCAGCCATAATATGGTCCCTCTCTTCCAGGGATGTTAGTTCATCATGTCCTTACCAAAAGCAATCAAAAGCTTGCTATCTAACATTTCAAACTGTTGCCAATTGACTTCTTGTAGGTGTGTTCATGTAACATCATGAGATTCATATATCTTTGACAGGTTAATTGAATGGAATTTAAAAACATGCTTAAATATAGCAGATCATACATTTATTTTGGACTTATTAATGTGCCCATAGCATAAAGTACTAATGATACTTTTCATTCATTTCATTCAATGATCATGCCAACTAACGGGTGGAAGTTTTACAGAGAGAGATCCAAACTCAAAATAAAAAGGAATATAAGTGGAACAGTCTGCCTCCTGAAGTCATATGTGCTCCATCACTGAAGGGGCTTCAAAGATTGTACAGCCATTTGTATAGGATAATTTGTTCTGCAACCAGAAGTCTTCCAAGGTCCCTTTCAATCATATGATTCCACAATTCTGGTTGTTTATATTAGCAAGTGCTATTATTTGAACTCAGCTAAAACTAAATTAAGCTCATTGCAATGACTAGAGGACCTCTGACTGGAAATGCTTCATTCAGAGTATAAATTTTAATAGCTGCTCATCTTACATGTCTACATATGGATTATTCTGAATAGGGAAACAAAAATGCATACTTTTTTCTACCAAAAAATAAAAAATAAACCGCAGAGAAAGTCTCTGTGGAATTCTAGGGGAAAAAAACAATATTTAGAATTTCCTTTCAACAAGCATGTCAAAAGAAAATAAATCCTGAGTTGTAGTCCTTGAGTGTTTGCCATACAAAAGAAAAGGTGACCAGGAATTGTTACAAATGATGTGCACGTGCACACAAACACATACACACCACAAATATATCAGATAGTAGCTCTGTCTGGGTGTATCTCCAAAGTCATGAACTACTGCACGTCTTTTGCAATTTTTCCTTTGTAAATATTATTAGTGTGAAAATACTAATAGTGTGCTTAAATATATACTGACCAGGGTCATTTTGATATGAGAACAGGTTTAACCTAAAATTAACTGATCATTTTCAAAATGCATTCAGTAGCACGTTTCTACCCTGCACAATATTAAAAACAAACCCACTGCAGTTCTGAACAAAGCAAATCAGGTGCAGAATTACCGCACATGACAGCTGCCTAGAGATTTTGAGCCTGGTATAAAATTTAAACTATAATCAATTAATGCCTTTGATTCCATGTAATTTTGTCAAAGTGTCAAGACCAATAACACTTCTCACATAACTGGGTAGAGTTTCATAAGTCTGCTGCCACTTGTATTTATACTTTTTTATGTAGTATATATTTAAAGCAGCATAGGATCCAGTTTTCCTCGCAAAAAAAAATAGCCAAGAACTATAAGGATTAACATTGATACAAAAATAGGCTTTAGGAGTCTGGAAAATATTTCCTCCTAGGTTATAAATACAGTCATGCGAGTCAAATTTGGTAGCCTAATTACTTTAGCAGAGTTTCCTTAAATGTACTACATTTAACCCCCTAGGGTCTTGTTTGGAGTATGCTACTGGAAAGTAACATACTTTGCAATGTTTCGCTAAAATAAAGCTATTTGTTAGGTAGGAAGCATAAGAAAGTAGTTCATTATATATTATTAAAGAAATCTATTATTAAACCTTAAGAGAAACTAGAATTCTGAAAACATTACTTCTAATGTTTTAGTTCTTGAACAACTATTTTATATTGACATTGCAAAGCAGCTCATATATTATTATAACACATTATAATCTTCTCAATATTTTTTAATACTGCGCAGTAGTAAAAATTACCCATTTTGGCCATAACAAACATGATCCTAGAAACTCTTGCTGTCAATTTAAAGTTTACAAAATGATGTACCATGTTTCTCCAACAATACCCCCACCCCCCATAGGAAGGCCCAGCATGTTTTCTAGGCTTGAGGTGAAATTAAGCCCTCCCCCCAAATTTAGGCCTATTTTAAAACATGCGAAATGGAGGGGAAGGTGGGGAGGAACTTGCCATTAGGAGCACCCCGTGGGCAGCCATGCCTTGCCGCCAGCTGCTCCTAACAGCCAATCATGGCGAAGTGCAGAGATCTCCCTACCCCCACCAAGCGCCTTTGCTGCAGATCCAGGTATGGTGCTGGCTGTAGGCTGGGTCAGTGGGTGGGTGGTGGCGGCATGGATGTTGGCCGCGATGGCGGCGTGACACTTTGTGTCATGGGACCTTTGTCAGCCACTGCTGCTGCTTCCTCCGCTGCCGTCGCTTTCTCTTCTGCCCTTGCCACGGCTTATGCTGTGTTTAGAGTGCTGCCATTGGGCAAGACACAAAGGCCGGAGTCCCTGCGGGACATTGCAGCATGGCGGTAGCAGAGAAGTGACCCTCCAAGCGGGTGGAGGCAGTGTTTCAGCCGCTTCTCGAGCAGGGTAGCCACCTCCATAGTTTCCACGGTTTCTGGTGGTGGTGGCGCCTCTCTCGCCAGCGCCGTTTCCAACAGCAGCAGCAGCAGCAGTGGAACAGACCCCGCTGCTGACGAGAACCACCTGCCCTCCTGCAGGAGCATCGCTTTGCTTGACGGCAGCTGCGTCGACAACGATCTGCAAGTCGGTGAGTCATTCGGGCTTCAGTGGTGGTAGCAGC